CTCTCTCTCTCTCTCTCTCTCTCTCTCTCTCTCTCTCTCTCTCTCTCCCCCTCTTGTTTCAGGGGAGGAGATCTTTTACTAAGGTTCTAAACTCTTTTCAGGGGTGGGGAATGAGGGTATAGGATGTGGGTAGAATTATAAGCATGTAGAGGTGAGGAAAATTTTACAGATGAGGAAACTGAGGCTCACCAAAATTAAAAGACTTGCCCATGATCAAACAGCTAAGAAGTGTCAAGGATTTGATCCCAATTTTTCCTAATTTCAAGTCTGCATTCTTTCCCCAGTGCCATTTATTCAGCTGCGTCCAACTCTCTGTGACCCCATTTTGGGGTTTTCTTGGTAAAGATACTGGAGTGGTTTGCCTTTTCCTTCTCCAGTTCATTTTACAGATGAGGAAACTGAGGCAAACAGGGTTAAGTAACTTGCCCAGCTAATGTCTGAGGCAAGATTTGAACCCAAGAAGAAAGGTGTTCCTGATTCCAAACCCAGTGCTCTAGCCACTGCACCACCTAGCTGCTCTGTGTCATACTTGACTTCTAAAATCCCTTCCAAATCTGATACGTCATGAAACTGAGGCCCAGAAAGGTTGTGATTTGCTTAAACTCACATAGCTGGGTGGGTGGCAGAGATAGGACTGGAAATAACAATCACGTTAATAATAATAGCAACTCATACTTAATATAGTACTTGAAGATTTATCAAGTACTTTCTTAATAATAAGCCCATGAGGTTCACAGTGACCAGGGATGTTCTAATAAATGTTTAACAATCAGCTTTCCAAATATTTGTACATGTACACATATATGGATGTCTGACACACTTTTGAGTTAATTTGCATTTTTAATATTTCCTCCATCACTTCCTTAAGTTTAGACAATTATCAAAACAATAAATCAAGCCCTGATTTGTAGTATTTGCCAATTTCTGAAGCATAAATTCTCACATTGAACATTTAATAATTAACCCTCCAGAGCCAGTTTGAGTTGACTCTAGCATACCCCTGAGCGTGACCTATGCGGCTGATGTGGCTAGTGGCTGGGGAGGCTAGCACTGACCTTTCACTTGTTGCTCGGGTCCCCGGGTATGGCTGGCCACACTGGGCATGCTGACGTTGTTCCTGTGGATGTACTTCAGAAACACTTCGGCGTTTCTGCGGGCCAATGTGCATGCCTAGGAGAGACAAAGAAGATGCCCCCTCCCCTGAGTCACGTGGAAATGGAGACCGCTGTAGGAGGGGACTCATTCCCCTTTCCAAAGGAGGCTTACAGTCTTGGCCTTGAGGTTTATGGAGGAGAGCAGCTCCTGGAGCCTCCCCAAATTCATGGGAAATCATGCTGCCCTGAGGCAGGAGGGTGGACAAGATGACTTTTTGAGGTCGCTTCAGGTTTGAGGATATGATAAGCTCTATTTTTTCAGGGTCTTCTTTTTATCCAGCAACATCTTTGGTGCCCTTCCTCTTACTCCTTTTAAACTAATAATATAGTCTTTTTATTTTAAAAATTTTTTCTCAATTACATGTAAACAAAAAATTTTAATACTTTTTAAAAAAATTTTGAGTTCCAAATTCCCTTCCTCCTTCCCTCCCTCCCTATTCCCCTCCTTGCGAAGGCAAGTAGTTTGATGCATGTGCAGTCATGCAAAACATTTCCATATTAGCCATAACAACACAGTCATGATTCATATTATGATTGGTAAGGTCATCAGAGTGGAGAATTCCCAGTATGGGAACTCCCTCTACCAATGCAGATCAATAATTTGGCTACAGCTCACAGTTTTAGCATTGCTCTTGATCACCAGATCACGAGCCATTGCAAATGTTCACTGCTAGTCTGGCTTCCCCACTTCTGCTAGAATATTTTTCCAATACCAGTCAGCTAGTGGGAGCTCAAGGAATATAAACTCCTTTTAGTATTAGCCTGATTGAAACATAATTAGGAAAGTAAATCTGGTGAAGGGAAAAGAGTAGCACACACATTATAAATCCAAATAGAAATTATTTTTACTGTTATTCATTATGTTGTATTATCTCTACTACTAAACTCATGGCATTCTCTCACATTTCTCTAGCTCTTTTTACATCATCTCTCTCCTTTTATCTTCATATTCACTGTAGGCGGCAGAAAGAATAACAGAATGTTCTTTCCACTATGCAGATGGATAATTTGAGGCTCAGGCAAGGAAGTGACAAAATGAGTGGGGGGCACATTGTTTTTCACTTCCTTTGTTTTTCTCCTTTTTTTTGGCAACATGACTAATATGGAAATGTGTTTTGTATGACTTCATATGTATAATGGGAATCATACTGCTTGTCTTCTCAATGGGTGGTGAAGGGAGAGAATTTGGGACTCAAATTTTTAAAAAAGAATGTAAAATAAATTAAAATAAAAAATATGAGTGGGGGACACCAATGTGCTCCCATTTTCAACCCAAGGACCTCTACCCCACACAAAAATCTGCAAACCTGAAAGTTTTCTTAATAGCAGGTGCTCAGCTGGACTATCACAAGCAGGTTATTAAGGTCCTGTAGCTGAAGAAGAAATGATGTAATCAAAGAACATTTAGAAGATGCACTAGGTATGCTTAGTTAGGGGAGGAGTGTAGAAATGTATTCTGCCCTCCCCCAAACCTGACCTTTCATATATACATATGTGTGTGTTTGTGTGTATACCCATATATACACATGTCTATGTGTGTATGTCTATATACACATAATTGAGTGTATATACACACACGTTGCTGTTGTTGGGTCATTTCAGTCATGTCCAATTTTTCATGACCCCATTTGGGGTTTTCTTGGCAAAGATACTGGAATGGTTAGCCATTTCCTTCTCCAGCTTGTTTTACAGATGAGGAAACTAAGGTCCACAGGGTTAAGTGACTTACCCAGAGTCACACAGCTAGTAAGTATCTGAGGCTGGATTTGAACTCAGGAAGATGAGTTTTCTTGTCTTCCTGACTCCAAGCCCAGCACTCTATCTACTGTGCCGCCTGCCTGAAATGTGTGTGTGTGTATGTGTATGTGTATATATATATATGTATATATGTATGTATACACGTATATGTACACACACATATATGAATACATATATGACTGTATGTATACATACATATACACATATGTATATATGAATGTTTTTGTTTTCTTTTTTCAATTACATGTAAAATAATTTTCAACATTTTTAATAATTTTTCATAATTTTCTAAGAAGGCAAGCAACTTGACATAGATTATACATGTGTAGTCATGGAAAACATTTTCATGTTAGCCATGTTGCAAAAGGAAACACTGACCAAAAAAACAGAATAATAGAGAAAATAAAAAATAACATTTCAAACATTCAGACTACATTCAGATTCCATCAATTCTCTCTCTCAAGCTAGATAGGATTTTACATCATAGGTCCTTTGGAATTGTCTTGGATCATTATATTGCTGAGAATAGATAAATCATTCATAGTTGATCATCATACAACATTGTTGTTACTAAGTATAATGTTCTACTGGTTCTGCCTGAACTTTCTTTAATAACTCATTATCTAGAATCCATTCTTTTGCCTGAATTCTTCAACTTATTTAAATTTCAGGCCTATATCATCTTCTCTGGGTAACAAGTTCCATAATTTCCTCAGGATATTAATATTTCTTTTTATTTGTTAGACCACCTCTTCTTTCTGGACACCTCCATTCTACTTCTATTCCTGAAAGCCTTAGTCAAATCCTTGACCTTGGGTCATTGATCCATTCAACCTTATTCTTATAGAACTAATGACTATAGCCTCCTCATTTTCCTGGTCTCCATCCACTGGAAGCCCTCCTAGTCCATGGATCATCTTGATGCCTTTCTTACTTACTATTCCTTTAACCCCTTTCTTTAGGTATAATGATCAGAACAGCAAATGGTATTTCAGAGACAGATACATCATTGTATTGTGCAAGGTTATGATCATGTTTTATACATCTTTCTCTTCCTGGAGACATCAAACAATTTGTTAGCTGTTCGTTTATGGTGGCACTTCAGGTTAATGTCTTTGGGAAATAGTCAGCGATGACTGTAATAATCCCTTCTCCTGAGTCATAACTGACAGCTCAGAGCCCATCCTCTTATAAAGAGAGCTTGGCTCATTTCCTTCCAGTGCATGATCTGGCACTCATCTGCACTGAAACTTACCTACTACTTTTCTATCCACTCACATGGCCTTATGAGAAAAGATCTCCTGCATTGTGGTGTTTCGTTACTCAGTTCCATATCTGGATCCTCAGCTGGAAGCAGTGACCTCTCTTGAATGTCACTACTTAACTGGGACAGCCGAAAGTAACTGGCTACTAGTCATCTATAATGTGTGCCTTCTCCTTAAGGATTCAGTAACTGGATAGCATCTCAAAAGTTAAGGAAATCCAGGGAGGGGCAGGTAGATGTAAATGAACAAGTGGAGACAATTTATTTTCTATATCTGTCTACCATCAATCCTAGCTGCTAACTGAAGGGTTTCCACCATTGTCTTAAGAGCACAAAGACTAAAATACATCAGATGAGAGAAATTTGTTACTTTTTTCCTTTTAAAAAAAGAACATCTCCCTTTGATATTATGTGGAAAAGAAATGTTATATCTCTGTTAAAAATCTTTCTTACAAGTTATTTACCTGAAGCTTAAATATTATATTCTGGCATATTTGTATATACATACTCTAAGTTTTTTAATGGAGCAGTTTCTTTCTAACTGTTAGCTCAATTAGAAGTGGGTGATAAGGGGACCAGTTGTATGGGAGTGCAAATACCAGATAAGAAAGGGGTGAGGGAAAGTCTCCTCAAAGAAAACACAACCAAAAAGCCAAGACAGGTAGGAAAAAAATCGGTTTCATGAAGATTGGTAACATTACTTTACTCTTTTTTTCTTTTTTCTGCTTAATTTCTATAACTTGTAAGGAAAAGAATTTGTAAACAGGCATTCTCAGTAGGGAGTAATTCAAAAGCTGGAAGTAAATTGTTTACAAGGACTTTTTCAACACAAAATTGTCCCGATGTCATCAGGTTGGAAATATGCACATACCATGAGGAGGTTTTGACTATGCTCAAAGATGCTAGATGAGTTACTTCTACTCACACTTGTGGGGAAAGCCAGAGCTAAATTAATCAATGATTCATAATAGATAAGTATTTGTGAAAAAATACCTACATTTTATATTTCTTTAAACCTTGCTCTACATACATGCATGCATAGCATCTATTTATATGTTGCTTAAATTAATACTGGGTAAGAGTTATACTTAATTGTTTTACAAAAAGTTAATATTCTCAAAGAGGAAGCATAAATGAGCACAAAATTGATATTTTCTTTTGGTTTATTAACCACGCCTATAGAAAACTCAGTTGTTTAAAGGTACTACTTTCCACATAGTAATGGCAAATGCTCAATGTAAGCAAAGTATTCAACTGGAGTAATAACTTTGCAAACCTAAACTGAAAAATAACAATGGCTAACACTATACACTCAGTTGGTGCATCTTCTGTGTAGAGCTTACTTCCTAAATTATCAAATGCTGGCTAAAGTAGTGTAGACAGGAAACCTTCCCCTAGGGGTGAAAGATTGAAGGAGTATGGAGATGTTGGGTTTGAGACCTAGGAGAGTAAGGTCTGACCTTGAGGAAAGCCTCTTTTTGTTCCAGATGTTTGCTGATGAGTGGAATGACATGGTCGATCTCTGCTGCTGGGCCCAATTTATCCCTTCCACCGCACCAATCCTCATCCCTCCGGTATTCCTGCTCTAGGCTCTCCAGGACACTGCATACCTAATGGAAGAAGGAGGGAATGGCTGAGTTAATCATTCAAACAATAAATCAACAAATGATTATTGAGGAACTTACAAAGTTTAGCTAGGGATACAGTATGCCCATAAAGCGACTTTCACACTTTCAAAGTATTACCCAAGAGTATATGTGGACAAAAATTTAACTGAGGCTATTTTTAAAGGGATATAGAATGAAAATGGGAGTGGGCACTGAAATATGTGAATAAAGAAAGGGGTAAAGTAGGGCACCTGAGACCAGCTTTTTCTCTACTTCACAGCTTTGCTCAACTGCCCCACAATTCTGGATATCTTAGATCTGGTGATGGGTCCCAAATCACTCAATTAGTTTTGTCTCTAAAGACATCTTTTCTCCCTGCAAATGCATAATCCAGTGAGGGAAATCTGAACTGATCTGCAGGCTCAGGACTTAAGAGAACACCCTTTATAGGTACATAAAAACCTCAGGTCATACAGGTAGAAAGCCTCAGATCAGAGTTGGTTAAACTTGCTCAAAGGCTAGACTTCTAAATTTCACCTAGAAGAGAAACTATATTTCAGATACAACACCACGCTAAGGAGCAACTCAAATGTATGAACTTCAATAAAAATTTGCCCAACTTTAGAATCCTTTCATAAGAATTCCTTGATTAACCTGACTCAACTGAGTGTTACCTCCATCTCCTCAGAAACCTCATACCACTTGTATATACACACAGCACTAGAGTAAGTGTGTGTGCACCCACAAATGCATATAGATCTAAGATGTACATAGCATCTAATTGGTGCTTAATAAATGTTGAGTTGAATTAAGAGGGCATAAATAATGTATTTATAGTAGATGTAGCAAGGTGGCATAATCAATACAGATCTGGCCCTGGAATCAGGCTGAATCCTTCCTCAGACACTTAATAATTGAGTTGACACTGGACAAGTCAATTAACCTCTCTCAGCCTCAGTTTCCTCCTCTGTAAAATGGGTATAAAAATAGCACCTATCTCAGCAGGTTGATGGGAGGGTCAAATGAGGTAATACATATGAAGCACTCTGTAAACCTCAAAGTGCTAAATAAATGTTAGTTATAATTATTCTTGTATGTGTTTTGTCTATTTCTTCTACATGAGTTTTGTCTCCTACCTTCATTCCCCACCCCCATCACTCCCTCAATCTCCTTTTAATGTGAGTTCCTAAGGATAAGGGGCAGCTAGGTGGAGCAGTGGATAGAGTGCCAGGAAGACTCATCTTTCTGATTTCAAATTTGGCCTCAGACACTTCCTAGCTATGGAAGCCTGGGCAAGTCACTTAACTCTTTGTCTCTGTTTCCTCATCTGTAAAATGAGCTAGAGAAGGAAATGGCAAACCACTCCAGTATCCTTGCCAAGAAAACCCCAAATAGGGTCATAAATAGTCAGACACAACTGAAATGACTGAACAACAAAGATAAGGATTGTGCCTCTTTAAACTGGGAGGTCCAAGAGATAAAGGGTGATTCTCTTCAGCAAGTATCAGCCTGACCCATTGAAGGGGGAGTTGGGGTTTCAGAAAATACTGAGTCAGTATTATGATTAGATCATTCAGTTTCTACTTTGGAGTCCCATCTGCAGACCTGGCTAGTGGGAGGAAGTATTTATAAGTGTCTAGATCTAGTCCACTGACTTGGCAGAGGGGAATATGGCGAAGTAAACAGATGTTGGTATCATAACCCATCCTTCTACTTTCTAAGATGCAGAGCTAGAACGAGCCAGGAGAACACTGTGACAACAACAATAATAGCTACCATTCATACAGACCATTAAAATGCTTTCTATATGTTGTCTCTGATTCTCGCAACAGCTCTGTAAAGTTAATGCTATTATCGTCTCCATTTTCCAGATGAAGAAATGGAGGCTGAGAGATGTTCAATAATTTGGTCAGCCAGGTTCACTCAGCTAGCTAGTGTCTGGGGCCAGATAGGAAGTGAAGGCTTCCTACTGCCAAGTCCAATACTCTATGGACTATGCCATCTAGCTGTCTCAATATACACAAATCGGATAATGACATTATGATTGGCGATGATAATTATCATTGACTTCTTTTTGGACTGGTGTCCGCTTATATTTTTATTTTTTTAATTTTTGGACTGCTTTTTAAAAAGTTATTATTTATTTTTAACATTCTTTTCTAAAAGTTTTGAGTTCCAAATTCTCTCCCTCCCTCCAGCCCCTCCCACACCCACCAAGAAGACAAGCAATATGATATCAATTATACACGTAGAATCACGTCATTGGCATTTGCACTAACTACAAAAACAACACTGAAAGACAGCCAAACTCTGATTGATTATATTGACCAATCTTAGTCTTGGATAACAGATTATGAGACACACCTCCCTCCTCTTGGCAGAGAGGTGGGAGACCAGAGATAGGGATTGTGACCATATGTGCTCTTTGGCATGGTGACTGTATTTTTATTGCCTAAATCTTTTTCTTTGTTATACAGGAGAGTTCAGGAAATTTGGCCAAATAATATAAAAACAAAGAGCAACAACATTTTTTTAAAAAATAAAATAATGGGTAAACATTTTTATATTTGGAAGGTAGTTTGGAAATCATCCAATCTGTCTACCCTCTCCATTTTCTAGAATGTAAATCACAAGGGTTATGACCACATGGGTCATAAGGGACAGAGGTGGGCTTTGAATCCTGGTCCTCTGGGCCAGCACTCTCTCTACCTCACCATGCTGTCCCACTGATGGGGGCAAGCTGTGGACTTGGGTCCCTGCCTTCGGGACAGAGGTTGTGGCTTCCACATCTACCACCTCCACTCACCTGCTCAGACGTTTTGTAAAAGGCCACAGAGGCATTGACCAGCTTGAGCCTGTCTTCCATCTTCAGCATCAGCTGCTGCCAGTGCATCGCCACCTTCTCGGCGCATTCCCGGATGGCGTCAGCATCATAGTGCCCAGCTTGGAGCAATACCTCTGCCTTCTGCTGTACCTGCAGGGCACTCTGGTGTGTCTTCTGCAAGGAAGTTGCATGAAAGAGGGACTGGGCATGAGGGGAGGAGAGAGAGGTTCATGGGGATGACCCAGGTATAATATGGGAGAGGGGTGGAGTGAGGTGTGAGCAGGAAGATGCAGAAAAAGTTAAACAGTTTTAAATGACTTTTTTTCTTCACAATTTGCTACTATTGCTACTACTTACAGACATTTAAAAAAACGATATTCGTTCAGAAAACCATAAATCTAGAGATGGAAGGGAGTTGGAGGCCTCCTAGTCTACCCCGAGTTCAAATCTGGCCTCAGACATTTCCTAGCTGTGTGACTCTGGGCAAGTCACTTAGTCTTGTTTGCCTCGGTTTCCTCATCTGTAAAATGAGCTGGAGAAGGAAATGGCAAACCACTCCAGTATCTTTGGCAAGAAAACCCCAAATGGGGTTATGACTAATTGGCAAAACAAGTCCACCCTCTTCATTTTACAAATGAGGAAAGGTTCTAGGAGGTTAATTGAATTGCCCGAGGACACCAAGATGGTCAGTCAGAGATGACATTTGAACCCAGATTCTCTGATTTCAGAGACATCGCTCTTTCTACTGGACCATATTTCCCCCTTTTGCCCTCCCCCTCCCATTCCTTGAATTACAACATACAAATATTGTGAATGAATATCCCAGGGCCTGGACCCCTGATCTCTTTGTCATGCTCTTTTGCATGATATAATCACAGGTTTCAAGGAGAGTTTTGCTTACTGCAATGGGAAGGGGAGCAGAGTGTGCTGGAGTCAGCTCATACCGACTTCTAAGAGCCAGTTGCTAAATTTTCACTGTGAGTGTTTATACCTTGGAAATACGCAAATGTTACAAATCAAGATTTGATTGATTATTTTGTTGGTTATCTTGACTTAAGAAAGTGATGGAGAAAATGTTAATAGTTCAAATTAAACTTAAAAGGTGCCATGTGTACAATTTTTTTTTGAGAGCTAGTTGTTAGCAATGTACCAGCGCACCTCTGAGAAGGAGTTAAAGAAGTTGTATGTTAATCTGTACCTCCTCCCTCTCCCTGCCCGCCTCCTTTGCCCTGGGTTATTCACTAGGTAAACTTCTCCCCTCCCTTCAAATGCCATTCCAAAGAATTTCCATCTTTTTATTTTTCCAAGGAAGTCATTGGCATAGTTCAATGTTTTAGTCAGATCATTTTAAAAGTACATGACATGCAACAAAAATCTCAGGTAACAAAAACTCCAACCAATGACCCACTGAGTACAAGCAAAGTTCAATTCTAACTCCAGAAATTTTAAAAAAATGGTTAATTCAGTGCAATTCATTATTGTGGAATTTGATCTTTATGTTCATTTCTCTAACACATTTTAAAAGGTAAAGGATAACAAGTACCATCAGTGTCCTATTGCCCACATTAATGGAGAACAGTGGTAGCTTGGATGATTCCAGGAAGCAGACACCATTTTAATAAATCACTTATATTTGCCAATGAAATGTATTCCATGATTTTGTCTTTCACAATGAATTTATTTTCTTCTTTTTTGGGGGGGGGGGCAGGAAGAGGTGATGGGGTTAAATGACTTGCCCAAGGTCACACAGCTAGTAAGTGCCTGATGCTGGATTTGAACTCCTGACTCCAGGGCCAGTGCTCTATCCACTGAGCCACCTAGCCATTCCAATGAATTCATTTTCTCAAAGCAGCTTGGCTCAGGTTGTTATTAGAGGCACTGGGGTATAGGGGAAAGAGCACTAGACATAGAGTCACTAGTCTTGGGTTCAAATTCTGCCTTAATGCTTACTAGCTACATACCTTGAGACAAATTACTAAATCCTTCAGATTCCTTATTCGTAAAATGAGTAGAATAACTCTTGTGCTACGTCCTTCATAAAGTTAATGCAAGCAAAGAACTGAGGGAACCATAAAACACAGCAGAAATGAGTTATATTCTACAGATCTTGTGGATATATAGATAATAAATAAGAGGTAAAATTTGAACCCAGATTCTCTGACTCCATAAACAGCACTTTCTTCACTATATTATGCTTCCTGGACAGAAGCAAGCTATGAATACTAACTTTATATCAGATTTAGTCTTCATTCTCTGAAGTATACACCAACTGTTAGTGGTGGCGAGGTGAACCCAGAAACTACTGAGTAGTTAGATAAACCAACCCAGCATTTAAGACTTGTTGCAGTTATATAGTAAAATAGGACGACTGAGATTGATTGTTTCTGACACTAATAAACTTATAGACACTAATAGACTTATAGAAATGCCCACTTCTTTTTTCTAATAATAATTAGCATGTATGTAGCCCTTTAAGTCTTACAAAACACTTTAAAAAGATCTCATTTTATTCTTACAACAGGAGGGAGGTGCTATTATTACCCCCATTTTACAGATGAGGAAATTGAGGCAGACAGAAATTAAGTGACTTGCTCAAGGTCACACAGTATTAGTATCTGAGGCTGGATTTGAACTCAGATCTTCCTGACTCCAAGTCCAGTGCTCTATCCAAAATGCACTTAGCTGCTAGTTCTCAAAAGCACTGGGTGATTCCCACATTTGAGAAGGGATAGTTTGACTCTTTAGAGCGCAGGAAGCCCAGCAAACAGTGACTGCCCTCACACAGCTGTACCCATGTAATACGACTGGTGACCTTCACCTTCAGTGCCATCTCTGGGAATATCCCATACTCTAACCAACTCAGAACACCTACCCTCTGACCAGAGCTTTTTACCTTGTTCTTTTCCTGTTCTCTCATACCTACTGTACCTTTTCTTCACCTTCATCATAATCTCTGGTCTTTCAACTGCTTATTGTTCCAGTTCCTTCTGACTTCAGTATCCTTTTCTGGCTCGTTATCCGTATTATACCCCCTAATATAATTATATATGTGCTTGCTGTCTCCCCCGCTAAAATAGAAGCTCTTTGTGAATAGGGATTATTTCCTTCTTTACAGGAGGCAGCTAAGTGGTGCAGTGGATGGAGAGCTGGACTTGAAATCAGGAAGAACAGTTCAAATCTACCCTGCCTCCGTGATCCTAGGCAAGTCACTTAATCTCTATGTGTCTCAGGGTCCCCTTCTGTAAAAGGGGATAGTAATAGTACCTCTTTCCTGGAATCGTTGAGAGGATAAAATGAGATAATATTTGTAAATTGTTTTGTAATCCTTAGAGCATATTATTGTAGTTGTTTTTAATCATATTCCCAGCACCTAGGACAGTGCCTAGCACATAATAGGAACATAAGAAATGTTTTTTAATTGATTAATTGATTGATGTCCCTTTGTATCTGGCCCAAGCATCATAGGTCACTGCCCTTCTGTGGTGTCCTAGAATGATTCTCCACTGTTCTTGTCATGCCCATTCCCAGTTAGTAACCTTGAATAACACCAACTATCCACTGTTTTTGCTTCCATTCCCAAGCTGCCCAATGCAAACAAAGTCACAAAACTTCTATTACTGAATTCAAAACAATTTCATCTTATCTATCTTCACTTGGGCCTCTGGTGCTTGGAAATCCTCCTATTAATTTCTTCATCCCCTCCCTCCCAATTAGGGTCCCAAAGTAGCTGCTCCAGTTTTTTCCTCCTCTCTGCTCAAGGTCCCAATCCAGGCCTTACATGCTTTTCACTCTCAGAAAATGAACTTGCTTCCACTTCACATTAAAGATTGAGTGAGCCCTCTTATCTTTCTTTTTTGACTTCAAAATGGCTCAGGATTATACTCTTCTTACTACTGTCAGACTTCTTTGCATTTTTACAACTTTTTTAAAATAAAGAATGGGATATAAAGAGCTAGATTTTTTTTCTAATTGAATAGTCAGTTCCTCTTTTCTCATTGAATAGTCAGGAATCTGTTCCTCAGTCTTCTTTACTTTTTGATGTTATATAATTAATTTAAAATAAGTAGAGACTATTCTGTCCCCCCCCCCAATAATGGGATACCATTCAATAAATCACCAAGTTCCATTGATTACACTTTTCCAATATCTCACATGAGTTCCTCCCTTCATGTTTCTACTTCTCCTCCTTGTTTAGGGTCTCAGCAACTCATGACTGCAGTAGTCTCTTCACTGGCTTTCCTTCCTCTATTTCTTCTACTTTTTAATTCATCCTATATATCCCTGACAGATTAATCTTCCAAAACACCTATGTCAACCCTCAACTCAAAAATCTCAAGTGGTTCCTTATTGCCTATAGAGACCTTATAGGTAATCTTGCCTAATCTCATTTAATGAACAATGTAGCTGAGTCCAATGAGATTAATCAAGGTCAATTGGAATTTGAACCCATGTTCTGAAACTCCAAATTCAATACTGTTGGCATTTCAGCCCATTTATTAATCTTTCCAATCTCTCCCTACTCTCCTACATAAGCCCTCTATTCCAGCGAGACACGATCTCACCTCTACACCTTTGCCTACTAGTCTAAGGTCTATTAGCCTTCCAAAGTCCATTTCAAGTGTTCTATTTTGTCCTCAAAGAGCCCAATTCTTGGTGCTGTTTTCTTCCCCTGAGCTCCTAGAACATCTGCTCTTAGTACCCTTCATTTGTCATATTGCACACGCTACGTTGTATATTGTATTGATACTTATCTTTTTATGTGCATGTCTCATGTTTCCCCAACTGGTGAGTAAGCCCCTTAAGGTAAGGAATCTAGTTATTTGTTTCTATTTCCAGGGCCTGGTACAGTGCCCAGCTTATGGGATGTACCCAATAAGTGCTTACTGATAATAAGGATAACAACAATAGGCAATACTATCAGCAAATATTTTCCTGACTCTACTTCTTACTTGCATAAGACCTTGGCCTCCCTGGGCCTCCATTTTCTCATCTGCAAAATGAGGGGATTAGATAGTGAGCCCAAAATTCCCTTCCAGTTCTGAATCAATGATCTTATGTGAGAAACCAGCAAATGCCTAACATAGTGCATAAAATCAGGATGCCCTGCTGCACCTTCATCTAGGAGGGGAATGCAAGCCTGAAGTATTCCTGAAATCCTGACAAAGATGGCTTCAGAGGACTTCATTCCCTCTGCCCAGGGACGTGCTTGAACTTAATCCTGTTCTTGCTTCTTAATTTAATTATCATTTAGAGCTACTGCTAGCTATTCCCTTTCAATTTCAAAAAAAAAAAAAAAATTGGCCCACATTCCATTTCTGGCTTGCTCAACTTTTCACTGTCTTGTTGCATTTATTTATAATTCCAGATCATCTGAGCCATGAGCCTCTAATGGGGGCCAGGAATGTTTCCGAATAATACAGCTTTGAAAAACTCATTAGGAGAAACGATAGTTGCTAGGAATGCAGAAGACAATATCTGAAGCAAACCAGTTGGATTTAATATCCAGCTGCTTTAACTACTGTTCATGTGGTAATGCTTATGTTTAAAAATGCATTAGAGAATTTAAAATAAAAATGAGCTTAAAAACTCTGCTGTCTATGAAAACCTCTCAGGTGAGCTCAATTCTCTGAAGATACATCAGACGGGCACCTTGGATACAAAGAGAATCAGCTAGACTTGTTCGGTAAATTTCTGACTCCCGTGGGTGGTGGGCCGTGGGGAGCTGCTCTAGCAGTCCTAGGTTAAGCCAACGTAGCAATTCTGGCTCTCTTGTGAAATTATAACTCCCTTGTGAGATATCTGGCTTCTCTCTGGCAACCCTAGCAGTCAAACTGAATCATCTATTAGTAGTCACGGCAAATTCCCCAAATGCAACCATCAAAGTGGGTTAAAACATACCACACTCTTTAAACTCCCCTTAACATAGCTTGAATTTTGAACAGTTATTTTTTTTTCTCCCATGATAGAGAACTTGGTTCAAAGGGACACATGTAGATCGGCATGGGGAGAATAAGCTTTAAGTTGGTGTGCTGGTCCTTACAACTGGACACTATTGGCTGCCCACCCTGGGAAGAGTCTCTGCCTGTTCCCCTAAGATTTTTGAACATTCCTTCAACATCCATACTTTAAATCTACTCCAGTAGTATCCCTTGAAGAATAGACTGCCACATTCTAAAATAGGTCATTTTCTGTAAATACCAAGGTATTATTTTTGAGAAAAGTACATGCACAAAAACCTAGCAGTGATGAGTAGTTGTGTTATCAGAGAAGGGCATAGAGTATCTGTGCTGTGGTGACCCAGAATTGCCAATATTATTATCAAATGAAGCTACCAAGAAAGCTACATAATACGGAATTTAGCCATTATGCTATTTCCCCACTCATTGGCTAAGACTCATGAGGGATTTTGACTGGCAGTCACTTTCCAGAGGCAGATAAGACCTACATTTCCTACATATTCCAAAAGAGGTTGAGTTCAACACTTAGTCATTAGTAAGAAGAGTCTGTACAGGTTTTTCTCTTTCTTCCCTCTCCCATTTGTACTGAACTATGACTTTATTTAAATATAGACCATATGCCTTACTTCTTATTCTTCCTTGCTCTCCCCCCATTCCAAAGCAATCAACTCAGGTCTCCATGGGATGGATGAGGAGACACAATTTCAAGCATTATTTAAGTCATTAACCCACATTAGAATTAATTTGTACTAGATTTTTTTATGGATAAAGTTAGTTTATTTAAAAGTCTTTCTCCCTCAAAATCCAGTTTGGTGACCTTCTGCCATTAATAGCACATTCCTGGAATTTTAATTCTGTCTCTATTCTGAAATGAACTGAAGCAATCTGGGTGTAAAACTTGTACCAATCCTAGCCCATCTTGGTGACTAAAAGTTCCTCTACCCACTTCCAATTCCCTATTAGGGGAAACAGAGAACTATCTCACATCACAGAAACATATTGTGGGAACATTAGTGTGACTCAGATGTTTTGAGAATTTCATCCCGTTTTCCTAATGATGGGCATTATAACTTCTGAAATGCTTAATCTTTCTTTCTGATTAATCTTTAATTGGTGGTGACTCCACACATTTTAGCTTTATATTTCGAAGCCTCTTTCTCTCACTCATGCAGTTAATATTTGGAAATATAGCAGCGAGGATGGGCATTTCTATAGGCCTCTATTCCCCACAATGAACTAGGGGACCTGCAGTTTAAAACATATATCATTTCTCAATGTGAAAGACCTTTAGTGTAGCTATAAGCCTGGATCTTCACTCCTTAGGTTTTTTAAAAGCACTTGAATTTGCTTCTTTATCAATTCTTAGATGTTGGGAAGGTATAAACCCCAGTGTGTTTCACTCAAATGCTTTTCCTTTTTAAGAAACCACCTCAAACCTCAGGCAACTCTATCTAACAAGAAGTCCAGTAATGGACAAAAGATAGGACACTAAAGCACGGATATGAGTGTTACCTCGATGGCTAGTTGGAACTGTTCATGCTCCCGCTGAAGCTGCTCAGCTTCTGACAAAGAGCTGGCATTGACCAAACTGGCATTCAGCATCGATTCCCCATTGCGGATCCAGCCCAGGACCTAAAGAGACAGGATAAGCACATATTTTACGAACCTGTTACAGATTCCCATCAAGGCAGTTGTCCTGCCAGTTATTTCAGCCACACACAGTCCTGGCATTTTCATTCATTCATTTGAGAAATATTTATTAAGTATCTAATTTCTTCATTCTCCATGATCATAGAAGAAATATGGAGTAACTCAGATGCCCTTTCATTTCTGCCTGTTAAAATCCTATCTTTAAAAACTCAGCTCAGATTTCACTTCCTTCATGAAACCTTATGCAAATCACCCCAACTGGAAGTTTTCTCTCTTTTCTCTGAACTCTTATAGTACTTTATTTCTACCTCTCTTATGATATATTCTGTCTTGCATTAAGTTGAAAATGTTGGGTCTTCCCTATTAGACTGTAAGCTTGTTGAGGGCAAGGGCCATGCCTTATTCTTCTTTGTAATCCCTAGCACAGTGCCTTACAAATAATAAGTATTCAATAAATGTTCAATTCATGAGTCTTCATTCTTCTCAATATTATGTTAAAATAAAATCTATCCATTACTGAACTGGCCCTATAGGAGGAGTAGGGTGTGAGAAATAGAGTAGTGACTGGAGACTGTAGAAGTATAGTGTGTTGCAGCCTCTTTTGTTTGTCAATAAGGACTTTTCTCCCTTCCATCTTTTTAAGGTACAAGATTAGAAGTCACCTTTCTCTCTCAGACAAACAATAATGCTCATATGCCTCAAATCTTCTCTAAGGAAAGCAAAATGACCAACATTACATCGTGTGTGGGCATCATCAGCATAGCTAATCAGTGTGCTTGCCATATGACCAAAAGGAAGTCACGTAATTTGAGTCTCCATGTCCTCATCTTTGAAAGGAGGCTAATTCTTCCACAACTCAACTGTGGAGCTGCTGGGAGGAAAGAAGTCCATAAAATGTTAAGTGCTACTTAGATGTGATGTTACTCCAACCCCAGTGAAGCCATCCAATTAGGATGGAGGTGTTACTCTGATTGATATGGAAGAAAGTGGGATAAGATGCCATTAGTTCCAGAACATAAAACTTCATATTGCGTGTGCGAAGTCCTCAGGACCATTATTGTACCTTCCTAAAGCTGGCTGGCAGTGTCTAATTACCTTGAAATGGTCCATATAAGTGTGGGAGGCATGCACACATGTTTAATGGCATGCTAAATTCACAGATGAGACTCTTGCCTTTACAGCCTCATCTCTTTGGGAAACGTGGTTGGTCATTGAAGATTTGGAAATATATATATATATGCTGCCCAACAGGCGGGACTACACATTGCTTGGTCCACTGATTCATTCATGCACCTTCAAGAAATTTTCTCTCCAGATGCCTCACTGGGATAATCTGGGCAGAGGAAATTAGTTGTAAAGGAAGAACCCAAGGAAGTCTGGGCAAGTCAGCTAAGCCCCTGGGGGTGGCTTCCTGGAGAAACTGGAGGGTTCGATGCCATCATATAGGGTTGTCTCCATTTGTCAACTTTTTCATTTAGAGGCAGATCATTGGCCTCAACAAAAATACATTTATTAAATCTGTTAAAAACCATTTATTTAAAAGGATATGGAATGGTAGAATGAGAGAAACAGACCCATATCCCTACATCGCCTATGACATCATCCTGTATCCTTGTTTGTTCCCATTTTTAATTTGCTCTCATTAAGGAACTAAGGGATTCAGGAAGCAGCATGCTGTAATGGATAGAGAAATGGCTTCAGCATCAAGAAGATCTGGGTCTGAATCCTGCCTCAGACACTTACTACCAGTGTTACCCTGTGCAAGTCACTTGGTTTCTTTGGACCTTAGTTTCCCTACCTATACAATGGAAGAGTTGCACACTATTATCTCCAAGGTCAGGGGTGGGGAACCTGTGGCCTCGAGGCCACATGTGGCCCCCTAGGTCTTCAAGTGTGGCCCTTTGACTGAGTCCAAACTTCACAGAACAAATCTACTTAGTGAAAGTATCTGTTCTGTAAAAGTTAAACTTGGTCAGAAGGCTGCACCTAAAGACCCTACTCCTGTCAAGGTCCTTAGCTCTAAGGTTCTGTTTCTTTCATACTTAAAGGGATAAACCATCTCACTAAAACCTCCCCATTGCATGGGCCTATAACCATGGGGTAGGGTCATGATGTTGCTAACTGTCTCTGTAGGTTAGATTCCTTTATATATGGTGACTTGAGACAGAGGTTAATAGTTAGCTGGCAATGAGTAAGCAAGAAATACTACTTTTCCCCTTCTAGCAGAGACTTCATAGCTCCAAATCTCAGCTTGATTAACCTGCCTCCCAGCCTCTCCCCAAATAAAAAGGGGCATAAATGTCCAACCAGGAGTAGGTGACTAGAAAAAAAAAAATTTCCTTAGACACTGAGGATCGGAAGAGAATTATGAGTCTAATTGAGTCTAAGAGCCTGTAATGTGGGGACCTGGAGTAATCAACAAACCAATCAATCCGTCACTCAACAAATATTTATTAATACTATGTACCAGGCTCTGTGCTCCATACTTGGGATACACAAGCAATAACCAGTATTAAGTATGGTGTGAAAGGCAGCCTGGTCAAGCAGTGGAACTGTTTCCTCAAACCAACTTTGTAATTCATAGGTACAGTGGATGGAGTGCTGGGCTTGGAGTCAGGAAGACCCGAGCTCAGATCTGGCCTCAGACATTTACTAATCATATGACCCTGGACAAGTCACTTAACCTTGTTTGCTTTAATTTCTTCATCTGAAAAATGAACTGGAGAAGGAAATGGCAAACCACTCCAGTATCTTTGCCAAGAAAGTCCCCTAAAAATTGGGTCACAAAGAGTTGGACATGACTCAAAAGACCGAACAATAAGAATTCATAGATCAGAGATCTACAGATGGAATCAGCCTGTTAAACTGTCTAATCCAACCCTCTTGTATTATGAAAATCATAAAAAAAAATAACTACGGAGATGCCTATCAATTGGGGAAGGCCTGAATTAGATATGGTACACAATTCTAATAGAATATTACTTTCCTCTAAGAAAAGATGAATATGGTGAATACAGAGAAGCATGGGAAGTTTTGTTTTTTTATGAACTGGTACAGAGTATAGTAAGTAGAACCATAAAAATAACATACACAATGACTACAACAATGAAAATGGAAAGAATAAAAACAAAACAATCAAAACTGAAGGCTATGAAATTATAATGATCAGACTTGGACCCAAGAAGAGATATGAGAATGCAACTCCTTCCTTTCTTTGCAGAGGTTGGGGGTGGGGGTCGGGGTGGGAAGAGTGACTATGATGACTAAACATGATATGGAATGTCAGACTTGGTTGATGTATTGGGTAATTTTGCTGACCTGTTTTTTTTTCTCCTTTTTTAAAAAAGTATTTGCTACAGGGGATAGTTCTCTGGAAGTGGGAGGAGAGAAGAATCCCCTCAAATCCAAAATCCTTGGGAAATACAAGTGATATGAGAAAACACAGGTGCAAACAAAAGATGTCATTTTTTTTAAAAACTGAGATAAATTCCAGTGAGTAGAAGTACATACATTAATTTTTTTGTGCCAATCATATTTTGACGTCCAAGGGCAAAACATTGACTGTGTGTTCCTAATTCTGGCTCTGTCTAGGAATCAAGTCTCCAGGAGTATAGGTTTATTGAGAACAGAAGTAAAAACTAGAGAGCCAGGAAAGACCTGCATATGCCTCAATTGGCCAACAAAGGATCTCAGGGAAAACTAAGGTGGACCCAAGTATAGAAACACATGGAACTAGAAAGAGAAAATAGACTTCTAGAAGCCCCCAGAGGTGGAACTGGCCCAGGCAGAGATGACTGGAGAGAAGGAACTTGAGCCAGGTGATTTCTAAGAATGACATTGTCTTGTGTGGGCATGCTGTTACTCAATGCACCTAGAACCATTTGTTTGTGAAGAGTGTAATCTTGTGAATCCTACACCTGTATTTTTATGATTAGATATTGAGTGTAGTAAGCAAAACAAGGAAAACAAAACACAATGACCACGAGAACAAAAACAAAACAACCAAAACTGAAAGCCATGCAATTATAATGCCTGGAGGTGGCCCTCAAGTAGAGATATGAGAATGCACCTCCTTCCTTTCTTTGCTGGGGGCAGGGGGGAAGACTGTGGATTCAGCTTTCAGTACATGTAAAACACTGCTATTAAACTACTATGAGGGGGAGTAGATTCCTATGTCTGCGGCCTTAAAAAAAGATACCCAAACCCTCAGATGGTGGCTGCTGAGACAGGGAACCTGCTGGGATACCCCTCTTTTAGTTTCTGGATCATTGATTTAGAGCTCTAGGTAACATTAGAGTCACCTTCCACCTACTTTGGATTTGATTTGTATGTACTTATTTATGGATTTGTTGCCTCCTTCATTAGAATACAAACTCCTTGAGGGCAAGAACTGTTTTTATGTGTATGGGGTAGGGGTGTGTGGTATTTTATCTCCAGAGCTAAGCACAGTAGCTAGCATATTGTTCAGTCATGTCCGATTTTGTGACCCCATTTGGGTTTTCTTGGCAGAGATACTGGAGTGGTTTGCCACTTCCTTCTCCAACTCATTTACAGATGAGGAAGTCGAGGCAAAAGTGACTTGCCCAAAGTCACAAAGTCACAAAGTCACAAGTCACAAAGTCACAAAGCTAGTAAGTGTCTGAGGCCAGATTTGAACTCAGGAAGAGGGGTTTTCCTGACTCCCAGCTGGGTGCTCTATCCACTACATCACCTGGTAACCAAATCCCCTCCATTTATGGATTAGGAATGGAAGGCCTAGAAAGGTTAAATCATTTGTCGAAGGTCACAATTAATCACTTATCTTTACTTGCCAAATCTAATCATTTTCTCTTGATCCAGATTCTTATTGATTTCTCTGCAGCCTCTTTTCTTTCAAACTTGCCTATAATTGTCAAGGGAACTTCCATATCATTATTATCCTCCTAGTTACCCAGACTTACAACCTAGGTGTCATCCTGGACTCTTCATTCTCTCTCACCCCT